TTCGCCGGCCTAAGCCAGTTTTCACGAAGGAAACGACTTTTTAAGAAAATAACGACTTCTTATGAAGGTTAACGAAAGTAAATCGGGGCGGGGAATCCGAATTTGAATTCAGTTTTTCGAAATTTTGAGATTCGATTTTCCAACAAAAAATCTGTCTCTTAAAGTCGTATTTTTCCTAGAAAGCTTTTTTCCAGGTATAAACGATTTTTTTCCTGAATAAAACGTTGTATGTTCAAAATGGAGCTCAAAATTTCGAAAAACTGATTTCAAATTCAGATTCTTCGACCCCGATTTACGTTCGTCAACCTTTATAAAAAATCGTTATTTTCTTAAAAAGTCATTTCCTTTGGGAAACTGGGCTTGCATCGGTAACCGTAGTTGGTCCGATAACCGTACCTACGGTTATTGTCACCGTTGCATCCATAATCGTGCTTCTTTGACCTGGGTTCTTGATCACTTGATTAGCTCACGAAAAGATACAATGTTTTTAAATGACACCACTGAGGTCTTTGTGCATTCACTTATATCAAAATTTTCCGTATTGGACATCTGATATCATTTTAGAAGACTCAGGGGATAATTATTTTTGAATTTGTTCGCAATTGGCCAATGGCAATATCCCTGGTTACACCACTGATGAGCATATACAAAAATATGAGAAGCTGCTGCCGCCAAAATTTTCTCTACAGTTCGTAAGAAATATACTATTTAAAAGATTTCGGATCAAATTAAACGTCTTTGAAGCGATTTATAGTGATTTTAAGAGATTTTGAAAGATTTTATATGCCAAAATCTGCTTTTTCCTCGTTGCCACACCCATTCCCCACACCCACCTACACTCACACCCTCAGAATTTCGCGGTTTCTTGAACGATTTCTGATTTAAAGTCTAGTGATAAATTGATCGAAATCTTTATTGAATCCTGCTTCAAATCCTGACAAAATCCTGAACCTCCATGACTACATGCTTTCTTTACGATTTAGTCGTTTACTCAGGAAAAAAACGAATGCCTGAAGGATCCTTATAGGATCCGGTAAGAATCTGAAGCGGAAACATCAAGGATTTTCACTATGGGAGTATCTATATGCAAGAAGAATTATTGATAAAGAGGCATTGCCCGTAACGGATTGTGGGCGACGAAGCAGTAAATACGGGAATCAATCTGTACTCCCCATTTTTTTAGTGAGTTATACAAAAGTTGTCTCACAAGTTCTATTCTATCGATTGAAGAGGTCCGAGGTTACTGTCTATTCTCTGAAAACGACTGCATGATGCAACATAGAACGAAAAATGTTTTGGAAGCGAAAAGAAAATTAGAACTTTCTATATGCGTTCTGTAAAAATACGTACTAACGTTCTGTAGAGTCTGCATCAATTATGCGTAGAACTCAACTAGGTTCTAATTTTATATGCACGCCTATAATTGTTTACAGTTTATACAGTCCTTCTGTCTGCTAACTATTCATCATAAATCCATCTCTACGAAACTCTAGTTTTGATAAAAAACAGAGAAAACACCAACCAGAGCTGTTAGTTGATCGCAAAAGTCAGCAAGGCACAAAACAAAAATGAAAAGATGCTGAAATAGTATTGTAATTCTCAATGGTAAATGCTTTATTTGCCTTGCACTTTGACTGATCCGCAGCATTTTTTTCTCCTAATGTCTCTTTTCGTCAACCAATTTTTTATGTTATTTACTGCAGAAGTGATAAGGTTTTCTATCAGAGTCGTATCATAGTCAAACAAACTGTAACTTGCCTTTTATCTTGCTCTTTTTTTTCTTCATGGAAGATCATATGGCTTATACAAATATGAAAGAGATAGGAGCGCAGCAAAATATCAAAACACAGTCTAAAATGAAAGAAGTTGCGCCAACTTGTGCTGAGGACTGCGACTTAGTCTGTCCCATTACGTTGCGAGTCTTTCGAGATCCAGTGATAGCTGCAGATGGCCGTACCTATGAACGTGAAGCAATCGTACGATGGATCATGAAGCATGGCACTAGTCCATTCACACGAGAGCCATTGAATGTCAAAGACTTACAACAGAATTATCATGTGAGAGGTATGGCTGCTCGACGACGAAGTTCAACGTCATCTTATTGTGTGATTGATGAATCAAGAATTTATCGAAGTCCACGGGCAACACCTGCCAACGGTAGGTTATCATTTACCCCAAATTGGTTACCACAAATCAACCCCGAAAACAAATCCCCATTTGGGGATTTTGATTTTGAAATTTTTTATTTTGGGGATTTTTTGACATAAAATATATCATACATTCTGTAGTTCAATGCCATTCTTTTTCTCATTCCAGATCATATTAACAAAAATAAAACTTTCAAAGTCATACATGTTGGTGGTATTTAGTTTGGATTCATTAGACATAATAAAAATAGTTTTACGATGAATCAGATGACCAGAATGTATTTTGGGCTACTACAAAGTCTTCATTTTGGCAACCCAAAATGTATTCTTGTCATCAGATTTACCTCGAAATTGTTTGTTGTAGTAACCCAAAATACATTCTGGTCACCAGATTCATCGCAAAACTGTGCTTATTATGTTTAGTGAATCCAAACTGAATACCTTCAAGAGATATGACTTCGAAAGTTTTATTTTTATTAATACGATCTGGAATGAGAAAAAGAATGGTATTGAACTACAGAATGTATGATATATTTCATGCCAAAAAAAATCCCCCAATAAAAAACCCCTAAATCAAAATCCCCAAATGGGAATTTGATTTGGGGATCGATTTGTGGTAACCAATTTGTGGTAAATTATAGGAATTCCTGTCAACAACGAAGTACCTATAATCAAAGTAGGAAATGACCTTGGGTTGGGTGACGGCCAATGTTGTCGACACCGATTCCGTATTCTAATCATAGTTCTATCGTTAATCGTTTTGTTAACATGTGCACTCGTTGTTAGTCTTAGCATGCGTAAGTATTCTGTTAGGTTCCCAAGAGTACACCAATTATTTCTGTATGCATTTCACGCAGGCAAGGATTTTCTAGCATGCCAATGATTTTTATTCCAATACGCGTTTTATAGTACATTCTTTTCTTGATGATCTATCCGACATCCCTGTCTTTATTTTTATTGTCAATAAGTTTTATTCTATAGCATTGGAGTTTATTCAGCCGTGTTTCGAGTTTCCTCAAGTACAAAGAAACTTTTTTTCGACTACAAAATGTAGTTTAAGCTATTGAAATTATTTGTAGAAATAGTTCTGGACAGATCGTTCGAGACTGCAATGAATACGTTAGTGTTTGTCGACATAGACAAAGATACAAATCGAGGGAAGCACACGACTCTATGCTGACTATTTTTTTGTGAGAATACGCTATTCAATGATATGCAACCTTGAAGGCTTCTTCAAATGATATACCTTTTTCCAGATTCTTTCCATTTTTGTGTTCACACACATATATCGACTCCGTAATAGTTCAGTAAATGTGTCAGACCGCGAAAAAAACCTACGCTTACTGATATGTGGTAGGAAACCTGATCAATGCTGCTGTAATGCATTGTGCCCCAAATATGAAAATCTTTTTTCAAGCAAAACTCAATGACATTTTCACTATGGTTTGTGTTGAACTATTCTGGCATACAACGTTCATCCTAACGGGTGAATCGAAAGTTTTGAGATAAAATGTTTGTCCATTTTTCATCATCTCGCAAGTATTCTAGATGAATGCGAAAAGATGGATAAGGATTAGAATTTAATACTCTTTCCAAATATGAGTTCAGAAATTCTGTATCTATTTTTGTTTGGGAATAGTGAGGAAATCATTGAATTGCGTTAAAAGATAGTTTGGACAAAACTAGTTTTTGTGCATTTTTGTATTTTTCACTGTTTCAATTCGAAACTCAATTTTGTAACTTTGGTTCATATATCAGGTTGTAGAGCAAATTCTGCCCTACAAAATGCGCTATTTTAGTATCTTTTATTTTATTACAAGGCATCTAAATTTTCGTTTTCCAGTTATCTTCGTTTTTGAAAAATTGACTTGTTAACCAGAATCCATCTCGGGTAGAAATAGCTTCTCAGAAAACGCTTATAGTTTTACTTGTATAAAAGCTATATTGGAATTCGATATCACATTTTATAGAGAACTGTCTGCTCTACAAAACTAACTTATTCAACCGTCTTTAGCATCTTCACAGGACTCACGGGAGAAGCAAATGCCGATGTGTTTATTAACCAATCCAATTTTCTGGCATGTTCAAAGATTGTCTCACAACTCTCGTACAAAAACAAATAAAAACATTTTGAGTCCATATTCAGAAACAGCAGAACATTCTGGTCATAGCCTGTAGTTTTTATTCGTCTACAATACTTTTATATAGACCAAAAAATAAAGCAAACATTGCTCAGAAGCTTCGACTCAACCATTTTGTCCAGACTATCTTTTTATGCCTTTCAAAGATTTGCTTGCTTCTCCCTTATAAAAATTGACACAGAATTTCTGAACTCATATTCGCAAAGAGCATTAAATTCTGATTCTTATCTACCTTTTTCAATTTATCTAGAGTACTTTCGAGGTGGTGAAAAATAGAAAAATATTTTGTCTCAAAACTTTCTCGGCTCACCCGTTATATTAACTCAAAAGAAAAACAAATAAGAACATACAATACTATTCGATACTAAAAACTTCCTACATTAGAACCTCTACTCTCTTATCGAGAAGCGAAGCCCTCGCTCAGTCGTATCGAAGCAAAGAAAATAAATAAGTATTTGCTCGACAAATGAAACCCTCAATCAGTACTTTAGGATTTTAAAATAGTTGTTCGATGATTTAATTCACAGTGGGCCATTTAAAAATTCAAAAACAATCACCTATTAACAGATTTCTTTCACAGATAAGAGTAAAATCTACTCGTTATGAAAGCACTTCTTCATTTTCGTTAACAAAATTCAGTGCATCACGTAAGGTTATCTTAATGAGATAGAGAAAGTGGTGCCAATTTTATTGATGACAGCCTTACATCTTGTAGATCAATACGTACTCATTAGTGATCACTAGATTCTTCTTCCTGTCAGTTTACTAGCAGACTTTGGTTTCATGAGATTTCAATTATGTCCAATACGATTTGTTTTTGTCTATCGGATTTACAGTCAATACGTTATAAAATGTACATGATGATCATAAAATCACACACCACTCAGCACGTGTCTCAAAACGAAAGCCTATGATCTCATAAAGTATCTCGGTATATACCTATATTTGACGAATGTGGAAGCTTTGAAGAGCAGTTGCCGATATTGAAGGATCACGAGCACTCTCTATACTTTCGAATGCCATCAATTATTGTTCCTAAGTAGATAACTATCCTATACAATTTGAAATTTCTAGATTACTCGACGGCGACATCAGAGAATATACAATTTTAAGACAAGATTTAAAAAACATTTATTGGACATTTTTAAAAGTAGAAGAGTTCTGAGCGTATCTCGGTTTTAAAATTTCAGTGTGCATGCTGGTACATGTGTTGAAAAGCGTTTACTTTACGCTACCAGATTGAATAGCCTAGCAATCGCTCTAGGAATCGAGCAACTTCGACAATTTTGCTAGTAAATGATATTCTGAAAGTTATTGCATCAGATTTTGCTCCAACGTCATCTCACACAACTGTTGGACGATTATCGACCTGCTTTGATGATCTTATCTTGCTAAAAATTCCTTTACCTGTTCGTGTGTACGTCATAAGTTCGGTTATCAGTGCATCAATTTAACATCGTCATCAACTTCAGAGCAATTCAGAATGATATGGCTGTCAGTTTCTTTCATCGCAAAACAATATCATGACACTGTTGTGCGATAAATATGTCCCTGAATCAGAACTCATGCATCTGAATTGCACATAAATTCGTACTAGAGCATATAGAAATTCTAAAATCATATCATGAATGAGTACTTAATTGTCTGACAGATCCATTAATGATGTTGATAGAAAGCATTTTTGTCCTAGAATTCAGGGATATAAAAAATACCAATGAATCGAAATAATCTTTAAATACCAACTTAGAAAGAATGCTTTTCTTTGTTCCTTTCGAGCAAGTGCAATGCTTCAACCATTGATACGTGTGTCTATACATGGTGACACATAAATAACAGTGCGATAAAAAATTGAGATATCTCCGCTTGGGTACAATCAAATCGGCTGATTTTTTTGCTAGTAGTAGAACTTTATTCAAAATCTTTTTTCATTCGGATAATGTAAGCAAATACTTCCATTAAGTGTTATTACTGACGTCACTAAAAAAATCTTGACCATTGTCAAATGCCCAAATATATGTGAAATGTTTCATATATAATTTTCAGTTGTTGCCTTAGACAATTACAAGATGAAAGCAAAATGTACTTTATGAATGCTATAACACTGATGAA